GTGTGTGTAGGGGGAACTTGGGAAGGGGGATGGGAGATCCCAGAGTCTATGGAACTGTATCATAAAATAGTAATAATAACAACAATAATGTTAATAAAATTTTAAAAAAGAATAAGTTCCTATTTCTCATGGTGAATTGGATTTTTATACCCATAATTACGGTGAAGAAAGGTTCCAAGTACAAAAGATAATTTTATGATCCTGATAGAATTGCTTACATAAGTCTCATAATAGCCTTTTACTCTCTTCTTTAAACCAATATAACAAAACAAAATTGTAGTCTCATGCATACTTAAATCATACAGTTCCAAACCATCTGGCTGCCCAAAAGATCAAAAATGATTCCTTCCGGAAACCTTTTGCACAAACAAGTATCTCACAAGGCCCATTCAGAAAAGGTCCAAGTGGAGAAGACACTGCCTGACTGCTTTCTGGAATACCACACCCGGTCCCCCAAACGTCCCCAGGCTACTCCTAAACTGAATAAGTGAGATAAGGAAGCCATTGGCTTAGGCAGATTGATTTCCAGGATTCTTTTTTTTTTTTTTTTTTTTAGCTTATTTTTTTTTTTTTATTTTAAAGATTTATTTTTATTATTTTTTCATTGGAAAGGCGGATATACAGAGAGGAGAGACAGAGAGGAAGATCTTCCGTCCGATGATTCACTCCCCAAGTGAGCGCAACGGGCCGATACTATGCCGATCCGAAGCCAGGAGCCTCTTCCGGGTCTCCCACGCGGGTGCAGGTTCCCAAAGCTTTGGGCCGTCCTCAACTGCTTTCCCAGGCCACAGGCAGGGAGCTGGAAGGGAAGCGGGGCTGCCGGGATTAGAACCGGCGCCCATATGGGATCCCGGGCGTGCGAGGTGAGGACCTTTAACCACTTGCGCCACCGCGCCGGGCCCGATTTCCAGGATTCTTATCAAGGAATTCTTCTCCTCTGGATCTGGGCTGGCTGTTACTGCTGGTAGAATATGGCAGAAGTGACACTCTTGGATCTGTGTATCCAGGTCCCATTAAGAACTTGAGATCATTATGCTCAGTGAAATAAGTCAATTATAAAAGGACAAATGCCATATGTCCTTCTCTAATATAAGGAAACTATCATGCAAATTGGAATGTATAGTGATGGAGTAATGGAGACTACCATATATATCCAGAAGTGAGGATACAATGCAACATGCATCCCTACTTCCAAATCAAACATGGACTCCCAATGAAATTGTTGGAAATGTGTAGACAATGAGATGCTGGACTGTCTGACACTGTCTGTACCTGCAACGTCGGGGCACACTGATGAAATCATGACTCCTTATGAAGGACTATACTACTGGGACAAGGTGGGGAAAATCAGTCAGGGGTGGGACTTTTGGGTGGAGGGACATTCCACTCTATGAAATTGTGCCATAAGATTCAAAATAAAAATTTTTAAAAAAAGGAAGAAATACTAGCTTCTGGGAATTCTTCTAGAATTCTTGCTGCTAGGATAAGAGAGATTTATGAGTAGCGCTCAGCTGCTCTGGCTATTTGGTGCCAGGTGCCAGGCAAGGTGTCTGTGAAGAATGTAGCTTACTCTTGCCTCAGCCAGCAAGTATCTGCCACTAGATGAGGGTACACACAAAAAAAACTAGTGCAGCGGAGTCCCTCAACCCCGAGACCAGGGAACGAAGCTTCTGGATGGATGGTTATGTGAAAACAGCTCATGTGATAGGCTGTTATAATAAAAACCTGTCTGTGTGAAGTCCACTGAGAAACCAGGAATATATTCAGATCATTTCTTCTCCATGAAACACTTCAGCAAGCCAAGCTACTCCTTAGCAATGATTTTTGCCCTGAACTATGCACAGCAGGAAAGGGAGACACTGGAGCACCTTGCACTATTGATTTGATGTTGTAAGCTGGGACTGACACGTACACATTGCCTTTGTTTCCACTCACTGACTAAACACATTCAGGGAGTATACACAGCTGGATGTGGACCAATTATCTTCCTCCAAACTCCCCTTCTATGATGTCATCTCATCAGAGTCCAGTCGAGCACCCATGTATTTTTGTTTAACCATGACTGTCTCACAATGCTACCATTGGACACAAGCTCTTTCTCCTAGTATCAGATACTAATCATTTAAAAACTCTAAATCCATACTTTAAATTGGAAAATGATAATACTGTGAGCTACCCAGTGCTGCATAACCACTTACCTCACCTCTCAGAGGTTTAATCCACCCACACTGGGTTACCTCACAGTTGTTCTAGGTGGAGGACCCTGTAGGGGGCGTCATTCATTGCCTTAGTCATCTCAGCAGCTCTGGACAAGGATTCACTTCTATCAATGGTTACCTGAAGGATTCAGCTCTTTAGCGGTGCCAGAATGAAGCCACACAGTTTCTCTTGAGTTCTTTGTCATTTAGGGCTCTCTGCACAGAATCTCAGAGCAAGCCAGCCAGAGGGAAACAGCCCCAGCCCAATGGAAGCCCTCAGGCATTGCTGTTTTTTGTATAACTTGATCACAGAAGTGATATTTCCACAGTCTATGCTTTAGAAATGAGCCACCAGACCCAGACCACACCCAAAGATGATCAGACAAAGGCCTGGCCACACAAAGGGAGTGTGCTTGTTGGCGGTTTGGGTCTGAAGCTGCCTGCCCCTCCTACAGCTATGCAACATGTGTTCTGTTATGCATGGAGATACATAAAGTGAAGACCTGTACTTTGGAGAAATCTTAGTAGGCTGAAGGGATGAGGGGAGAGGATGACGACTACATTGAACTCTTACAATACTGAAGAAACTGGAGTTGTACAGAAACACTGTTGCATCTGAGAAGAGACTGCAGCTCCTGCTGCCGGAGTTCTAAATGCCTGCCAAGACGGAGGCTGGGAGAGGAGCAAGAAGAGTATTCTGACCTGAGTCAGGAGGCAGAAAAGTCCGCAACATGCTGGGGCACTGGGGAGCAACTCTGTGTTACTGAAACACCAGAGGCTGGAATGTCAGGTGGGCAAAGCTGAAACTGGGGGTGAACCACACACAAGCATAATGCTAAGTGCATTTAACATGGTAAAAAAATAATAATAATAACCCTAGAAGCATTACAGTATGTTGCTGCTTCGAAATAATACATACACTCATTTGAATCCAACCATGCTTGATGGATAATCCTTCATTACTTCATAGAAACCATTTGGAGCACACTCTATTACCATCTGCAATTAAAGAGACCCTTGGTATTGACTTGTGGTAGCACCCGAATCCCCTGCCCAGGAGGTATCAGGGATGGGGGCAGGGGCTAGACATGTCTGACTGCAGTGGCCCTGGGTCCCCGCTAGGTGCCTCCTCACTGCCTCCCCCGTGGGCCTCTCACTCTGAAGGCCAGAAACTGCAAGCTGGAGTGCACAGTCAGTGCTAGGAACATGCAGTGTGTAAGCAACGTGTCTGCGGCCACAGGTGGGCCGCCGATGTTCTTTCTCGTTGACTTGCAACACGACAGTAGATAAAGCAGAAAGAGGAACTTAGCTTCAAGAGTGACTCGTCCCACTCCCAGTCCATCCATCTTCCTTCCACGACCAACACTTTACTTTGGGGGGTCTTTCAGAACAAATTCCAAACATCATATTTATTCAGCCATAAATATTTCCCCGTCTACAACCAGTTAAGGCTGGAACCCAGAGTCCTAACACCTGGACGACACTCATCACAACCAGTAAATTCCCAAACAGTGGACGTTACCCTAAGAACTTTTCAAATCCAATCCTGTTCCCAAAAGGTGGCCCCGAAAACAATGATTCCTTGTTTAGGAGCCATTTCTTTTTGTAAGCACACTAAAATGTTTCGCACAGACTCTGCAGGCATGGTGTGCACACAGCAGCCATGAGTCTTAATAACATTCTCTCCCAAGTCTTAATTTACAACAACACTTGATAAGCCCTTGGATGTTAGACTTCGATGACTCAGGGCTGGGTTCACCGAGAGCTTTGAGCTACTACTTACTGATACCTACAGCAGGTAAGATCCTCTCTACGAGTAAAAATCGTGCTGTCACACTGGCTGGAGACTGAATCCACAGGCCCTGAGGTGCTCTCACTTATGCAGCTTTTTGTTTAAACTCCAGGAAAGAAACCACATCTTTTTCATTATCAGTAAAGCACATTCAGCTTCACGCTTAGCACACCGGAAAGTGCGTATGTTGCAGAAAAGCACCCACCTTCTATTTGCAATCCAGCCTCACACACTGAAGGCTCAGCGATCTCAGGGGACAGGTGCACGGAATGTGTATCTGCAAAGAGATTTGAAAGTCATGCTCTCCCCTTTTATATCTGACAACATTACAGCTGAGAACCGGGAGGACTATTTGATAGGTAACTGGCCACCTTATGTGACTCCTTCCGTCAGTCTTATTTTTTTTAAAAGGTTTCTATTAAAATTAAAATCATTCTTTGTAAAGAAGATGCAGTGACATAGTCTAGTCGACTTAGGCTCTGCATCTAGGCAGTGCTGCGTGGATGTATGTGCGAGATGTTCCTTCCTATTTCATGCATTCATTCCACTGGGCAGTTCCTAGCTACCACCATTGAAATGCAGGTGGGTTAGGCAGCACTGGCCAGGTCTCTCTTTACACAGACCCATCAGCCCAGCCCCTCCTCCCGTCCCCTTTGCATCTCTCCCAGGACCCCGAGCTCAGGCCCGCAGCGCAGGTTCTAAGGTAAACAAGGTTGGGTCCTGTATTCCTTGTCAGCGTGGCTGTCACGGACAAGGGGCGACGGTTGCCAGGGTAACCGGCTCCCCGGGCAACCGCGGCACAGGGGAGGGGCGTGGCCTCGCGGCCTGGGCGTGGCCTGGCGGGCGGGGCGTGGCCTGGCGGGCCGGGCCTGGTCGGAGGCGGCGCCTGAGGCTCGCGTGGCGAGCGCGGCCGGGGTGCTTGGCGGGGCGGGGCGGCGCGGCTCGGCACCTCCTCCCGCGCGGCCTCCGGAGGCTCCCTGCAGCAGGCGGGCGGGCAGTCGGCGGAAGCCGCGCGCCCCGCCGCTTTTCCCTCTCCACACACACACACACACACCCTGTCGAGACGCCAACATGGCGGGCGGGCGCCGCGGCGGTGGCGGTGGCCCGCGGCTGACGACGCTCCTGGTCGCCTGGCTGGTTCTGGCGGCGGCCGCCTCAGGCTCCGAGCAGGCCGCGGTGCCGGCGGAGCAGAGCCGGGTCCAGCCCATGTCCGCTTCCAACTGGACGCTGGTGATGGAGGGCGAGTGGATGCTGAAATTGTGAGTGTGCCCGCCCGCCCCGCTCGCCGCCGCGTCCCGGCGTTCGAGAACTCCGGCGCCGCCGCCTCGCCTCCGCGGGCCCGCGAGCTGCGCATGCGCGCCGGGCCCGGCGGCTGACAGCTGCGGGCGCCGAGTTCGCGGCTGCGGGCCAGCTCCCTCCAGGCTTTTCTGGGCAGTCAGTGTTTTGGGGATGGAGTGGTCAGCTTCTCCAAGGGGGCGACGACAGAGGGAGGGCCAAGCTGCAGGAAAAGTGTGCTTTTACAAGTGGGGAGTGCATGCAGAGGACAAGGGGTTGTGGCTCCCTGGCACAGCACAGGGAGGGTTTGCTGAATGGCTGCTGCGGAAAGGGGCACACTTGGTACGGGATAACTTAAGTTTCCCTCTGGAAGACGTCCAGGTGCCCTTGTGAAAGACACGCGAGCATGGCGGCCTTCTGTGCAGAAGTCACGACTGCAGTTACTTGCTGTTGTCTGTGACAGTTTTAGAGCTAGGCCTTTGGGCGTGGGGGCACATGTCCTAAATGAATGAAGGTCTTCTGTAACAGCATTAACGCCTTGGCCCTTTACCAGAGGAGGTGGCTCATTCTTGTACTTGAAGGAGATGGGAAAGTAGTTTTGAGGCAGTTGCAGGCAACGGGGTTGCTGATTGGAGTGCAAAGTGAATTTGTAGTGGAGGACGGAACCGTTTGGAGGAAGGTTCGAGGTGGACCATGCAGAGGTCAGACCTAGGACCGTGACACGAGGGTGGGTTTTTAAGGAAAAAATGTATATGAGTGTAGAAATGGTGGTTGAGACTGCGTCTCTTTGTGGTTTCTGGAAATGTGTTTCTTTGGTCATTGCTGTTTGATCACGAAGCTCACGTGGGGAATATAGGCTTATAGTTAAAGCCAACGTTGTTGATTTCTTCAGTTCAGATTGTAGGCAGGTACATAGGGAATGAAAACCTTAATACGAGCTCAAAGTCAGGAGTTGTGTCATCTAACAGAATTTAATTAACTTATTTGAAATAATTACAGAGACGGAGGGTAAGGCAAAGCTGGTTCACACCCCTGACGGCCTCAATGGCCAGGGCTTGTCGTAATGAAAGCCAGGAGCCAGAAGTTTCTTTCACAGCTGTGATGTGGGCTGCAGGGGCCCAGGCACTTGGGCCAGCCTCGTGCTTTTTGTAGGCCTTTGTCAGGGAGCCCCATTAGGAGTAGCTGGGACCTGAACTAGCACCCACGTGTGCTGCTGGTGCTGCAGATGGTGGTTCTGTCTGCTGTTCCACAGCACCGGCCCTCATGTTCCAGTCAAGAAACATTCAAAGCAAGAAGAGCTTCAGGATAGGATTAGCAGGTGAACGGTGTTTAGAAGGGACAGGGAAGCTACACCTTGTGTCAGATGATACAAGGGTTGTTTTTTTTGTTTGTTTGTTTTCAGCCATGCTTACTCAAGTGGGAGTCCCTTGAGATGCTGGTCTTCCCCATTATGTGTGGTGTTAGCACAGTCAGGGCACAAAGGCCTTGCTGTGTCTAATGATGTCAATTCCTTGGTGCTTCCCTCTGGAATTGCTGTATTTTAAGGAAAAGAGCTGAAAGCATTGGAGCTTTGGTGAGTGTGAGCACCCAAAGCTCATAAACCAGTGACAGCCAACACCTCCCGTGACAATGGTTCCTATGTTCCTTCCTTGGGAAGGCGCAGCCCCAGAAGCTGGGCAGTGGCGCCAGCGGCCGTGGGTGCACTCGGGCGACATGGGGGCCTATCAGGAGCTGGCAGTGGACACGAGGCTGCCAGGAAGAGGGCTGAGGGCAGTGCCACCACCTTGCTTCTGTCTGCCAAGCCTCAATGCTTTTTCTGCAGAAATATGTGACTCTTGCCTGCTTCACAACTGGGTTTTGTTGTTGTTGTTCTGTAGTTACCACTCCTTGGGAAAAAAAAAAAAATCCAACAGCTTAACAAACACACAGTCCATTATAATCTCAGTAACACTATATGCCTAATAGAAATTTCCATGGCCCATTTGCTTATATGCTGCCTTTCTTCTGGGAGTTTTTTTCTTTCATATTCCAACTAATACAAAGTCCTCAAAATACAATCCTGGTTATATTGGTATTGATAATTTACTTTGAAGGACCCAGCAGTATTTGTCTGTTCTGAGACAGGAAAAGCTTCTATTATAAAGTTTAATTTGCTATATTTTCTTTGTCTTTCAAACGGTCAGTTCTTTGAGCTGCAGCATCATTTCTGCTTTTAAAAATGCACCTCTGTGTTAAGAGAGTATCGCTTAAAATTGATATTTAGAGTGAGGGATTTCTCGTCTGAAATCTTTCCAAAGATCTAAAGCATCTTCGCGTTGCTACTCACGTGTTTATGAAGGCTGTGGACTTGCTGTGTACTGAGTTTTGTTGTACGCTCGGTTTCTCTCCTGTTTGCATTTGTACCTTGTTTTACAATGGTCGTCCCTATTTCTGCTGTGTCACTGCAGCTGGCTTGTTGAACTTCGTTGCCTCTTTACCTCTGATGACAAGTTTTCTGTTCCTGTGAGATAGGAAGACAATCCGATCTGGGAAGGAGCTTCTGCGCTTCCTTTCTTCCCACTGCTTTGTCCTGACCTCCAGGTACTCGCGGTGTCTTGCTGGTTTTAAACGCTTGTATGGCTGGCGATCTGTCAGTCCGAGAGAATACCACCATTGTTTTGAAGTAGGAAGGCCCGCAGTATGATCTGTCCTGTGGACACATCTAACTAGATTAATTCTGACCTGCTACCTTTTAACTAATATCCAGAGGAAAAGATTTCTTTGAAACTTATCACTATAAAGCTCTTTGGAAAGCACTGCTTTTCTCAGTTTTTTCTTGGGAGGCTCCTGTTCCAGCTGATGGCTGGAGGGTGCTACAAAGCCCGAGTTCCTTAGAAATGTGACATTATGATGTTGTCCTTCCACTGTCCTTCCTGTTTCTGGAAGGACATCCCTGCCTTAACTTACCTGTACCAGTTAGTAGGAGCATGTGGTTGGCTTGTCTTGCTTGCTGATTGAACGTCAGGTTCAGGTTTGGGGACCTGGGAAGGCAGTGACTGGTGAGGTAGTCTTGATCTCTGGGGACTGGTGGTCAGCTGCCTCCTGAAGGAAGCAGAGTCCAGGTGGGGCAGAGCAGGATGCTCGGGTGTCAGAAGATGCTTACGGTGCTGCTTCACGAGAGATGCCCGTTGGTGCTTCACCACACTGTGCCATAGGCATTTGGGGCCAAGAAGCTTTTCAAGATTTAGGGTGACCTCTTGGGCATCGCTGGCTGTTGCCCTTCACGTGCCAGTGTATTCTCATGTAATCACATGCTAGTTGAGTGATGTAAAAAGCTTCAGCCCCTCCCATGTGCAGGCATCCACATACCTGCAAGTGGACACCGCTTCCTAAGGACTCTTGCGGGTCTTTACAAACATGGCACCATAAGCTCAGATAGAAGTACAATTTCGGATTATTTCCACAGAGGGTTAAAATCCTAGTCGGACCTTGTCATCCGTGTCACCCTCATCATCATAATGGTTGTGAGGAATGTTCCAGATGCTGTCTCATTGGCTCATTCCAATAATCTGGTGCAGCGTTGTTGTTTTCATTCTTAGTGACTAGAGCAGAGGAAAACTTTAGAGAAGTTACATCTTTTGCCAAGGCCAACATCCTGAGGAAGTAGAGGGCAAGGCCAGAACTGTTAACAGAAGGCTGAATCTTGCTACCCAGACACAAGCCCGGGGGAGTGGGCGTGCTGGCCCAGAGAACACAGAGCCTGGCTGACTGCTGCTCAGAGCTGGCCCGTGGCCTGCATTGCAGGATGGGCAGCCCTGTGCCCACAGTGCTGAGTGACCCACCAGGGCTGCTTGGCACTTCCGGCTTTTGTGAATGAAAGGCGTTCTTGCTACGTGTTCATTCTCCAACCACGAATGCAGGGTGTGCTCCTCTCCCTCCATCCCAGCACTCAGGAAAGAATCTTTTTCTCTGTGCCTTGTTTATTTTTTTTAATTTAAAAAAAAATTTTTATTATATTTTTGACAATCTTTACATAGTTAATTAGGGTAAAAAAAGGTCCAAGGGCTATAGGAAAGTGGGTAAGACTATTATTTTCATATTAGTATCTGAGGTAAAGGGGGATATTGAGGGAGAAGCCCCACCCAGTTTCCCACCCTCCCCAGGCCCTGGATATGGGGCGTGTTCTGAGATACTTGCTCAAGTGGTTTTGATAGTTCACCAGTTATGAATCGCTGCCACTCTTGCCACTCCAAGCACATTGAGGTCATTGAAGAATCCACTGATTGACATAGTCCATCATAGAGTCTCCGTTTGCCCTGTATTTCGCTGCCAACATATAGCTGAGGTGGTTGATTGACTTGTTTTGTCCTCTGTCTTTTCTTGGTTAGGGTTCTGAGTCCAGCATTTCGACTGGGGAGATCCCCAAAGAAACTTTGTCTGAGGTGTTTCCAGACCAGATTCTAGTATTACTAAGCAAGCACAGGGCCCGCACAGTCCATCACAATTGCTGGGTTGATTCTGTTTTCAGCCCCGACTTCCACTGGAACCAATGGGTGTTGCAGTCCAGCCTGATTCTGCCCAGCACGTACTCGGCTCTCACATAAACCAGTGGGAGCTGCGGCCTAGTCAGAGCGACCCACAATAACCCCCACCAGGCCTGTCCCCTACCCTGGTTTGCCAGTATGTGTAGCAGACTAGTCCAGTCTGTCCCATATCCCATTTGGCTCTTGTACATGTCAATGGGTATTGCAGCTTAGTTCCATCTAACCAGCTCAACTATCCAGCCCTCATGGATGTTGTTGAGTGTGCCTTTTTTTTTTTTTTTAATCTGTAATGGTCCTCAGGTCAAGGAAGAGGCACATAGAGAGACTCTTCCATTTGCTGGATCACTCCCCCAATGTCTGCAACAGTGGTGGGCGGGGGTGGGGGATGGGGTGGCGAGCTGACAGCAAGAACCTGGGACAGGATTAAGAAGGTGCTGAGGCAGCGCTTGCCTGCCTGCCTT